TCTTGCACGTTGCACTCGGTGAAAGACGAGAAAGAGCGGGCCGAATAAAGACGTTAAAAGTACCGTGTCATTAGCCATCTTTAAACTCGTCTCAAGTGATCCTTTTTAATGAAGAGTAGAGATCGTGCGCGTGCAATCTACGAAAAGAAAAGCGAGCGAGTCGAGGCGGAACGCGCGGCAGACGGATATTATTATTCCCTTCCTCCCACTCCTCTGACAATTAGACGCACGTTACTTTGGCTGCCGGTCGGAGCATCGGGCAATTTCATTGCTGTGAGCTTCCTGCCGCTTGTCCGAAAGCGCCCCACACTCACACATGCACCGTATCATTACTTCCTTTTAAATCCTTCCGCGCTCTTTAATGAAGCGCGAATCGCGAGCCGGCCACACCCTTGAAATTTACGTTACGTATATTCCTCCGTATCATCATCGCGCATTTTCATTGTCCGATACACGAATATTATATAGCCTTTAATTATTCGCAAAATTCCTTTGTAATCTTCGTCATGCACCGTTGCATTGTGTCTTGGGAACGGCAACTTGATTAAATGAACTTGATGAATTTTTCTCGCAAATTTCCTGTCGTAAAATATTTGCATATTAATATTTATAGAATTATTATTATACACTGAGAAAAATCGTTTGATTGTACCAACAAGACGTATATGATTGAAGGCATTTTAGTTAAATCAAACAAGAATTTCTAGTTATCATGATAAGACTCGATTTTTTTATAACTAGAACGTTTAATAGATTTTATTATAAGGATTTGATTAGTATTTTCTGGTTGGATCTATCAAATTTCTTATTACATTAATTTCTTTGCTTGCTTCTTAACTTAACTCGTATTCAATATTTGCCATGAAATGTATATAAAGAATTAGTATTAACACTAAATTCAAAGTATATTTTTTTCTCTTACGAGCAGTAGTGCCAGAAAGAGGACGCTAGCTCTCTGATTGTGTGTATTTGAGCTGCATCCTCTTCTTGCAACACTGTTTATCAGTTTAATTTCTAACAAACTGAATTTAAAATCTGAATTTAATTTCTAACAAACTGAATTTAAAATAATTTATTTAATAATCTGAATTGAATTTATGCAATAATTGTGTTGGAATTCAGAATATTAAACAGACTTTTGAGATTAGATGGAAAAAATTTTAGACGACTTGGTGCTGGCGAGTTTAGTATTATTAACCAGAAAATTTGGTAAATTTAACAGGAAGAAATTATCTAAGAAATTATATATATAAATTATAAAGAATTAATCAGATTCATCTGGTAATTCCTACAAGAATTCTGGTTCGTCCATTTTCCAACAGACATACTGGTTGAATCTACCAGAATTCTAATTAATGCAACCAGATTTTTTTCTCAGTGTAGAATTATATTTATAGAATTATTATATTATATTTAATTATTATATTATATTATATTATATTTAATTATTATATTTTTACGCATAAAACATAATTTAATTACATTATAAAGTATTTTAAGGAGAAAATAGATATTACGAAGAGAGAAAGGGAAAATATTTCAATTATTGTTTTATTATAATTCTCTATAAATGTCTGAATGAATTATGTTGCGTTTAATAACGAAGATAATTTCTCCTATTTTCGTGGAATTATATATTTAATTGCTACCCTAAATACACGGTCGGGGTAATTTCACGGAACTAATTTCCGGCTGTTAGTAGAGTTTGTTCACGGAGATTTGGTTGCGCAAAAGTGACGAGGTCGAGCCTACTAATCAAAGGCGCGTCTTTAATGGCGTATGCCAGCGGTATTCAGATTCTGTCCTCTTTAATGAACCGCGAATTACTTGCATTTATCGTGAAACACGCAATTTCACATCATCTCGAAACGCATTCTCGAGATCGAAGATTCGAGCTGCATTCTATTTTTGCATTTTGCTTATATAAATAATAATTTATTGCGTTTTCCTGCGGTCTCTTATTACCAGCTATTACATTTTTAATCGCACTTGTGCAAAAGAAAACTTCAGGATCGTTAATAGCGTGCGTTTTAGTCGATTCAATGTTGAAGGCGGGATCTCCGGTGTTTTTCATACCATTAGAATCTAGATTTTCTTGTTTGCACCGAGCAAAATGAGAGCATATCTAATAAGCATATGTAATAAATTGTTTCTAATGAATCTATTATAAGTTTAAATGGACAAAGTAAAAAACTTAGAAATTAATAGAAAAAATTGTTCATTTAATGCATTGAAAAAATAAAAATTAAATTAACGATAATCGGAAATTCTTAAAATAATCTGTTTATTTAAAGCGTTAAAAAATAAAAATTAAATTAACGAAAATTGAATAATGTAGAGAAGTTGATGAAAGAGAAATCTCATTTTGTTTATACAAGATAAAAATTTCTTAAAAAATACTTTGTGCAAAAAAAATTATACATTAATTTTGTCGGCAGATCAGACCTATCAGAGATGCGTATCGGCGAGTTGCCAAACGACTTAATCGTTTACAAACGGACAGATCGCGCGTCCGACTGGAGCAAACTCGAGCGATTGAGCTAAACTGGCGCAATAGATAAATTGCGGCACTTTGGCGTATCATCTTCTTTTTTTTCACGTCCTTCATCTTCCCCGTTCGACGATCATCGATAAGCAGCGACGATCGTCGCGTGACGATCGTTACGTTCAATCAGCCTTGCGGTTCGTCGATTTATCTCAAAAAGTGGGCAAAAACTTTCGCAGGACAATCAGTTCGAGTACCTTTTTGCGAGGGCTTTGTCGACGAATTTGAAATATATACCAATAATGACGCGGTCTTTAAATACAGTTACGTCCCCGATTTCTTCTAATTAACTCTGAAACAAGACGAGATCGTCATTAAGAGTAGCTCCTTCGAATAATCTCGAGTACCGCGGATCCATCATCGGCCTGATTACGTTTTTCGCCGGGGAACGACTTCAATCAAGAGGAGTCCTTTTGTAATTTTCGATTAAGGATGAGCCACGGTATCCCCAAGAGGAGTATAATGACGCACCGTAGTAATATTAGACGCGCCTTAATTGGCTCGCAATTAATAATGCACGAGCATTGCGCCCATGTAATCTCCATCTTGTGAAGAGCTCGACATCGTTCACGCGATCCTCGTGCATGTGGAATCAACGTGCGTCTTGTTAAGCCTCATTTACTCAGAATGGCCTTGAAAAGCGTTTAAAATGTTGGCCAGTGAGATAAATTATGTAATCATGTACGAGAAGCTACCGTTCTATTTCTGAAGCCACATAATATCTTAATTTCATCAAGATACTCTCGGTCTGATTTTCAATTTAAATTGTACCGCTTCTGTACCTTATTATACTCATAATGTAACGCAAAAATACGGGATTTAAAAATGATATTTTTTTTAAATGCTATAATATATCGCGATGGCAAAAAGCATTGCATTATACAACTTCGTTACACTTATTGCTAGGCTTGAGAATCGTTTAGCGAGTCGTACGTGTATGCAACACAGGTTCTTTATCTTTCCGATAAATCTACAGTAGCTACAGAAGAGAATATGATTGCTGCTCACGTCATGATTTCATCAACAAATTAATCGCGATGTGTTCCAGGATAAATTGTTGGGACAGGTCGCGCGTATTTTGAGAGATTTACGATGTAGACTTGAGACATCGGACGTAAATACCTCCCGTTATACGCTCGCATAAACGTTATTAAGGCCATCAGCTGCTTCTGGTTGCTTGGTCAAGTACAGATGATTGACATAATGCGTGAGAGAACTCACGGTTATATTGGACGAAATGATTTCTGCAAATGTACTTCGTCCGACTAGTCTGCCATTCAAACACATCGCAAACGATATTGAAATTTTGGTTTGAAATTTTATAGAGTAATCTTTTTCGTGTATAAGATATAGACATATAGACATTTATTTATAACAATATATACCAGAAATCAAATCAAGATAAAGGATAATTAATTTGAATCGCACCAGTCGTTTCTTTATTGGAATTTGAAGAGATTTTTAACAAATTTTGAGATTGATTTTAATTATATTTCATATATCTTAATGTATGGATTTAATTTAAATTTTTTTTCAAATTTAATTTTAAAGATTTTTAGCATTAAAAATAAAAATGTATAGCCATTAATGGAATCTCCCATTAATTTTCAGCAAAATCAGCGTCATAATGATAGATGTTTGTAGCTGAAAAAATCATTCGTCCTGAAGCAGCCTAAGTACAACATTACAGACACGTTCGCAAAATTGTTCGTGCATTACTGGAATAAAATCAAATTACAGCTTGTCTACGTAACGCGTACTTATGAGAAAATGCCTAAAGGCATGAGTTTAATATTAATAGTACCTGCCTGCAATAATCGAATGCAGCAATGTATTGATGATGTTTAGCGGTAGCAAAAATTATACAGCAGAAAGGAATCTTTATTTCCAAGGAATCATCAAAGCCGTGCAAACCGCGCGTAAATACACCTGAATATTTCGCAGAAAGCACACGTGTACTTCTAAACGCGGTAATGATTCGTACGGATTGCGTAATGACGCGTTTTCCGGGGTTACTAAATATGTCCGAGGCCTACCGTACATTTTCGTTAAATGAGTCATTATAGACTCAGCCATATGAGCAATATTTCCTTAATTATTCGAAATAAAAACATTTGGGAACCTAATTAACGTAAAGTCCACTTACAATTTATCGCAATCTCTTTTATGATTCTTCAGAAAAGAGAGTTTAAAGCCTTCCCCTGTCGTGATAAAATAATTAGACATAATAAAAATGAATATATGAATAAGCTTTAATTTTTGAAGATTTATTTCGCTGATTTTAAGTTTGTCGTACATGCATTTTTTTCTTCTTGCGTAAGCTCGTTTAACGAACCGGTAACTGATCAATATGCGTTTTAACTGCGATCGAAGCGAATATTAGAAATTACAAATAACCGCAATAAGAGACCGCGAAAGTTATTAATAGCCATGCAATCTCTTTTTATGTTTGCAGGCATGCGCGCCTAGATATATCTGGTTCTCCATGTCGCAGTCGAAGTACGATCCTGATGACAATAGGAATAAAGAATCCACGGTGGCTAACAGAAGAGAACCGGTGGGCACGTGCTGGGTCGTCGCTAATAATTTCAACGAATCGCAGGAATATTCCCCATGTCGAACGAGTAAGTTTTTATTCATTTTTTTATCAAAATATTATAAAAGTCATGCATTTTCTCTTAGACTGGAATTGATACTTTTAATAAATTCGAAAAAAAAAAACTGACATCAACTTTACTCTTAATTGTATGTTATTGAAGTGTCAAATATTTCAGAGAATTTTCCTTTAAATTCCGCCGAAAAAGACAAAGTTTATTAAACAAAATAAAATCAGGAATAAGCTTTAGTAGCTAATCTTTAGTGTCTCGAAAGTATTACACATACGTGTTATTTTAGTATCTGTGGTCCAGAGAAAGTGCGTAACTTCTATCGCGTTCGTCCACTTGAATCGTTAACAAAACGTTCCCTGAAGACTTCCGTTCTTAACGAAAGCGACTTTGTGGTAAAGTAAACAAAGCACGAGCGAATGTTTAATTTCCACTCTCGTCGTCCTCTCCGTCGCCCGGTATCGAACTCTCGAGGGCGGTACGATTTATAGCGCGCGCATGCATCGTCCTCCGAATATAACTCCGGTTTATAAAAGAAAGAAGGAAAAAAATATCTCCAGAGATTTTTGTGTGTCTCTGGTTGTACGGTCGCGACGAGTGCTATAAACAGTTGTAAACAGGCGCTTTTTCGAAGACGCAAAGCAGGACCGAACGCATCCTTTGAACGCAAGAGGCTGCGTAGCTTTTGCCATGTCTGGAGGTAAACCCTCCTCATCCTCCTCTCCAAGGATCACACAGGAGGACAAATTTTCTCCGCAGGGTAACAAGAATGCAGCCAACATATGGCCATGTTCTCAAAGTATAGCGACCATAAATACGCCAAGAAACAGGATACTTCCTGCCGACCATGCTTCGTATTTTAATGACAAAGGATATATCGATTTTCGGTATCGTTTCACTCGCTCCGCACTGACTTGTGGAGATGAGGGTTCTAATAATTTACATCGGCGAATAGCAAAGAGCGTGTCTTTCAGGATTGCAATCATATCTGACAATTTTAGGATAATCATACGTTAAAAACAGTTATTCAGTCGTGAAAAACAGGTTTGATGGAATATAATTCTGTCAGGAATTTTTTAAAATATGACAAATTAACTGAAATTGGAAAATTTAGTAAAAAAAATGATGTTTTTCTTTTTTTTCTAATATTTATTCTTTTATCTAAAAATCATTTCCCGTATCAAAATTATCATAAATTTTCCTCGTCCTACGCGATAATGATACTCTATGGTATTTCTTGATAATATTCTATATACATATACATTTAATATTTTTCTCGTGATTACTTATCAATGCACGAAAAGGTCAACGTTACAGATATTTTATGAGAATACTAAGCATTCTATGAATCTTTCATATTCCTTTGAAAATCATTTCCTTAATCGATAATTTCTTTTTTTATATAAACGAAATCGTTCACTATTTTTGTAAAACTTTTATCATCTTCAAAATACATGAGAGAGAGATAACTTTAATACAATACAATATAAGTTAATAACGAAAAACAAACAAGAAAGTTGTTGCGGCTAGCAAGCATTAGTTTTAAGTTACTGACAAAAATTAAATATAATAAGAAGCAAATAATGGAAAATTAAAAAAAAATGTTAAAAATTTAATGTTATATATAATTATATATTATGTGTGTATCATACATATTATATATATTATATATTATTATTTATATTTTTCTATTTATTATAATATCTTACCTTTTGATATTTATTACTTATAATATTTGTTAAATATACTCAGAAACATATAATAAGAAGATAAATTGTTTCTCAATAACTTGAAAACAATTAGCTGCAACAATTCCATTTTTATTTCTCATTGTTTAAGTAAAATAAAAACTTAAACAAGTTGTGTTTGCTAAATAATATTATTGTAATTAATTTTAAATCTATCAAAGTTATAATAAATATTCTTTTAAATTATTTAGTTTCTCATGACATATAATTTAATTCTCATTTGTTATAATTTCAATTAAGAGTGACTTTTATGTGATTATTATAAAATTGTGTGTATTCTCTGATATTTCGCAATCAATATTTTTTTTATTGCTTTATTCATTTAAATCATCTATCCAATGTATATAATTATCTTTTTAATTCCTTCCCAATTAAAAAGATAAAATATAAAGTTATATAAAGGAAATCCTGCGGGGCAAATTTGCTTTTTAATGACGTCAGAATATCACGTATTCTGGTTGCTCTCCAAATAAATATTATTAGAATTCATCGTGAAACGAGCTATATCTTCGTAGAAAGCAAAGTGCGGAAGCGAATGCTAGTCTCGATGTGAGCTCATCGTCCAGAAATTCTGCGACGATCGCGCAATTAAACAATTAAAGGCCGAGTCGGATGAACGAACTGCTTTTCCCAAGAATCGTAGAATCTTTATAGCGAGGCGTTAGATCATCAGAATTTATAATGTAATGTTGACATTGTGATATTGCCTTATTACACACCGGCCGAATTAAATCGCTTATTGTCGTTCATTTCTAAAATTAAATATCTCGTAGCTATTTGTTTGGCTATTATTGTCTATTGGAGAAACAAAGATAACAGCGAGCCTGGTAATTTTATAAACATTTTTTCATGCGATTGTTATGAAAAATTACAAATGAAGAGATAGGAAATTTGCATAAATTATAGATTAAAAATTCTTCAGATTTTTACAAATAATACAAAAAAAATATTAGATTTACTTTTATATTAATACGACAATTAATAAATATTAAAAGATTATTTTTTCATAGTAAAATAAGAAATATGTCTAATATAATTTTTTATGAAATACACAAATATGAAAATAAAAAACTCTAAAAAAAATATAAATAAAAGTACGTGTAATTTAAAAGCCTAGATTTTTATCATTAAACTTTTTATTTTCTATCTCTTACAATTCTGATGAGTTAAGGAAAATTATTACATGTGCGGTTGACAGAACATATATATTTACATATCGAATAATCTTTGCAAAATACAATTACACGGAAGTTGACTCAAGTCACACCACATTTTGATTGTATCATATGAGGCTAAAATAACGATTTGATTGTTTTGGAAATTACAGCATTCTAGTTAATGTTAATGTATTATAATTTTTTATACATATATTGAATATTATATTCTCTCTTTTAGCTGTTTTTCAATAATATTTTTATCATAATTATTCATATATTATCTATTGAATATGTTGTATGATATCTTACAACATTTAACACTTTCAAATAGATAAGGATATATCATGACGCAAGTAAAAATATTTAAACATCATCAGGAAAACATTTTTCACGTGTGCAGTTAATAAGAGGAAGAAAGCAACGGAGGCTTGCGGTAAGTGCATTCCTCGATGAAAGGCGCCTAGCTCAAGTGGCTGGGAGGCATTGGAAAAAAAAATAATAATTGGAAGGCGCCTCTCGGACTAAGGCACTAACTCGGCATCGTTGTAACAAGGCCAATTAGCACTTGATCCTACTTGAATTACGATCGAGCTACCGATCTCCAACATTCAGCAAACAAACATTCTTCCTTTTTCGTTGAATTAGAACAATTTTTTTAGACATATAATTGCATAGCGTGAGTACTTAATTTCAAGTACAAAAATAAAGAATATGTCACTCATTTGTTTGGAAAACGATATCCCGTTTGGATTACCGGTATGAATTTTGAACGTCATGCAACAGTGATTAATCTTGGCTATTGATTATATCGTAAAATATAAAAAAATTAATTATGTGATGTAAGATTGTATAATCTAATTAATAAATTGATGTAGAAATCAATAGCAGGATATATATTTTTACTGTAAACGCGGTCACCTTATTTCGAAATAAAACAAGTGACCCGATAATGCATATTGAGGATATGTAATCGTGCACGCACACACGCACGTGAAATAAGAATTACAGTAGTTCCATTCATTCCTTGTAACTCGATTAAGGGTCGGTCATACAACTCGAGCTTGTCTCCTGCAATGCTCTGATTTCTTTATTAGACGCTTCAAAATCATAACCGTGAGCAAAAAAAAAGATTATATTCTGTGAGATCTTTTGTTATTTTTTAAATCATTTAAAAATTGATGAAAGAGAGGATACATCTTTTATTTTGAGTTGCTCCATGATAGATCCAAAGTTCATTGAAATCAGAAAGCAACGGTTGCGCGAGAGCAACTTTCCTTGTTAGATGATGAAAAAGTTTCTCTCTTCCACTTGTCGTTGGTGTCGACTCGAGTTTGAGAGCGGAGAATGGTCTCTTATACCGACGAGAATAGCATCCTTCCAAGGCGCGAAGAAGAGACGGATTATAAATAGATCGACCATCGACGATATCGCGGTCGAGCGCGTCGAATCCGTTGTTGCTCTTCGCATGATTTATTATATCAATTCACCGATAATGATTCTTATCGACGTATTTAAAAATTGGCCGATTTTCACTCTATTTGATAGACACTCTATGACGTTCTATTGGTTTCCTACAAGATGTGAAAAAAGATTTATTTTAATATTTTTTATCATTTAATAACAGTTTCTGAATTTAAAAAAAATAGACTCAAAAGATGGAATAAAATTAATTAAAATTAATTAAAATTAATAAAATTGATTAAATAAGAAATCTGCTCAATTATAATTAAATCTGCTCTGAGCAAAATTATTTTGGGATTTATGGACGACTGCGGGGACTTGGAACTTTCATCAGTTTACGGATTTGTCGCTGTATGTTTCAACAATATGCCGAAACACACAATGTCATCGAACATGTCCGCCGAGTGGCGCCGATCGCTCGTTTTATATCTGCTTTTTCCGTTGCGCGATGCAGCCGGATCGACGAAGACGACCGGATTGATGTAATTGCGTGACTGACAGCTCGTCTAAAGTGAACGATCGGCTGTCGAGGGGCCCCGCTGTTGCTGTCGCAACGTTCATAACGTGCATATGTACGTGCGTGCGTATGTATTTGAAGAAGGCCGAGTCCTACGGGACGATGCACCGGATATTCTCACATACTTGCGCGCGTTTTCTTGCGAGAGTAATGCAGTTCGTTGCAGCGGTCGCGTCGGAATGGCACTGACCCTGTCAGTCGGCTTCTGTCGGCTTTGGCCCGATAATTTGCTACTTGCAGTTATCATTGGCGATTAATTGCTGGACTGACGCGTTCAACGGCCGACTTCCGCAATATCTTGCGTGTTTCTTCGCTTTGCAGTAACGCTTTTACCATAAAGTCGATCTAATTGTAAGACTTGATCATTTGAAAGTTGATCAAGAGATGGAAAAATATGTATATGAAATTGATTATTCCGGCTTTAAATAATTTTCTTTTCCGTGTGATCGAGAATTATTCATATAAATAAATATTTGATATTTCTCATTACTTCGAGCTATCTAAAAATTTATGTTAATTGTATAGATTTATTCTTTAATTAACAAAAATTTATATCATGCATAGTTATGTGCCTCGATTAATGATAGCAATTATATCATCGTGATTACACTTAAATGAAATTCCTATACTATCTTTTGATGATTCTTGCTCATTTGTTGCATATGCCGATGATACGATAATATTAATAATAATTATTGTTACGAATACTAGAAAAGCAGAGATTTTATCTTCCAAAAAGAATAAATTGAAAAAGATTGAACATCATTATCTGCGCATAGATAATTTCTACGAGATGACTTCATTATTGTATATCAAATGTAATCTTCTCTCATTTATATTTATTGTTAGTATGATTGCTCTAAAAATAATTTCTCTTCTTAAAGCGTTTTATTAATCAAGATAACACGCAATTTTCTCTTTAATTTTATAAGCTTATGTTATACATTCCCCATACAATTCATCAACTATATTAAATCTTCTCTAGCATGGAATTCCTTTTAGCAAAGTTCGCCGCGTTATCGCGCTAATAATCAATTCCGTTTGAACGTATGTAAATAAATGTTGAAATAAAAAATACATACAGGTTTACATTCGAACCAAAAGAATTTCGGTAAAATTATCATTAATTTCACAGACCTCCCTGTTTTGATTACTGTCTGTATCAAAAAGTGCCGTCGCGTTATCTAGTTAACGAGCATAGATACTCGATGACCATTTCCCGGATGACGCTATTCATGATAATCCGTGATAAAACATACAGCTTGCACTTTCGCCTCGATTATTCGGATGAAGAAAACGAATGGGGAAGGCGTCACGGCAAAAGATCAATCTGGATTTAATGACGCGTACAAATACGCACTACTTTTGCTCGTGCAGAGCCTTTAAGGCGATACTATTTCGTAATAGATAACGCGTGAAACTCCAGGAACATATGCACATACATCTCACGAGAAGACGACGCGAGACTTCCTTATATCCGTGTTACAGCTACGAAGTGTTCGAACTAATTTAAGTAATAATAATTATTCTCTTTTAAAAAATTTTTAACAATTTTCAGACAATTTTACTTTAAAAAAAATTGTGTTTACAAAAAAATATTATTATGGTTTCTGTCTTATTTAATCAGAAATTGAATACTTTTATAATTTTATTTAATTTTTATTAATAGTTTTTGTTAATACTTTTTAGTAATATTGTTATTAATAATTTTTATTTTTATTTTTATAATCTTATTTAGGTTTTATTAGTGTTTAATTTTGAAATAAATATTTATATTTTTACAGTGAAAAATATTGTAATTGCATGTCGTATTATGTGTTTTTCATTTCTTATTTTTATTCAATAATTAGAAAATATTATGAATTATTATGTAAAAATTGTGAAAAGAGAAAGATTTATTTAAACTGTATTATTGAGATATGATGCCTGATGTTCGAAAGAGAAGAATGAAATATAATTGTCTGTTTCCGTTTTAGGATTCTGGGGCTATCACAGGCAGGGTTCTTGTCAAGCTGGTATAGGAGCCTCGATATCTAAAGTAAGTCAAACAATATTTAACTTTCTTTTTCACGATTCTTATGGAGAATAATATTATTCCTTTAATCTTATGCGCGCAAAATGTTACAAAAATAATATTAATTTAAAGGGAAAAAATTTACTTTCAAATTTTATTAAGTTTCAAATACTTTTCTATTCAATTCTTATTGTTAGATATCTATCGTTGATGCATGAGAAATTATTTCAAAATATATTCAAATAAATTTCAATGTTCCGAGATGATACAAGGATCCGCATGTAAGTTAACGATTTAAATGACAACGGAAAGCGCATCGCGGGAATGTAAATATGGTAACGCCGTGACGTGTCTCGGTGGTTGGACGTCTCGAAAGCGTTAGAAAGGGGATGCTGGCGAGGGCCGAATATGGCCAGGAATGCGAATTCCTATCTCACGCACCTTCGTCCGGGCATTCGTATTCGTGGCATGGTGCATCCGCGCAGCGGAGCCAATCGTCGCGGCTTTCTTTCTCTCTCGTACACGATTGTGTTGTCCGAGACTCCGATTCTCCGACAAAGATCGCGGGGCCGAATGGGTCAGGACCGTAAGCGTCTTCGCGCACCTTTTGTTCGCTTTTCACCCGAGATGCATCTCCGGCGAACGTAGGTTGTTTGTTGCACCTGCATAATCTCTACGCGCTGATATGCTCACTTCATCTCGCGACCCACGTTGCAATAAATATCGGCAACAGCCGCCGACAAATCGGTAGCTGCTGCTCTTACCTATCGACACAATGATCATTCTTATATCGCTTAAATTTTGACGCAAATATTTCACGATGAATTGCAGAAATTTTTGCATAAAAAATTTAAGTGTACTGTATTTAGAAATGATGCTCAGTTTGATGCTCCAGTTTATTCAAAGAGCAGAAATTGCATATTTTTCATCAACGATAGATTCTTTAATTTGCAATCACAAAGTAAAAATAATTTTATATTATTCTTTTGAGCAATATTTTAATATAAGTTTACAGATAAAATTTGATTTGGAAATTCAAAGAAAAGAATAAGAATGTTGACGAAAAAAATGTGGTTTTCGTTTTATGCGTTTTGACATTGAAAAATATCAGTTAAAAATACAATCATTTTCCTTCCAAGGAAATATTTTCATGGCAATTTTTAAACAATAATGATATTATTGCGCCACGACACATTTCTATTGCCATGTTTTTTTTTCGAATCGCATACAATCCGATCTAATCTCTTTCCTTCGCGGTAAGAAATGCGAGAATAGTTATCTCACAGCAGGACTTCGATTGCACCGCCAAAGAAATAGTAGGACAATTCCGCGGACATTCAGCTGGTTATCTTGCCACAGATGTATAATTCAGAATTGCACGGCTATATGGCATATGTTTAATGCATGTCGCGAATCGTATCCGACTCCTAACTCGGTTTCAGCATTCAATGTTAATATCCGCCCGCGCTCAATCCTAATCACGTATGCTTGCTTATATTGCATACTGCAAATGTGATAATTTTAGATATATTTGACGGCTGCTTCAGATCGATTTTTGCTCTACTCTTACAATTTCACTTTAAAGCGACAGAAGTTTCTCGACGGTAGCAAAAATAATAAATTTAAAACACGGTGATGAGTCTCATCCATAACATATACATATTTCATTACATGTCTATAAAATGCTAAGATCTATAAAAAATATTAAGGAGAGGAAAGATTGATATTTTATATATTATTTTTCTGGAAACAATTTTTCTATTATAAAAATTAAATACTATTATAAACTTATATTTATTTTATTTAATTATTATGTGATTGATATTGCGATAACAAAATGCGATATGAAAAATAGAAAATATTAAGTTGATTTTAACACAAATATGATGAATTGAAAAGTTGGATTTCTCATCGAATGAGAGAAATCATGCCCATCTACCTTGTTCTCTTTTCGGGAAACAAATGCTATTGTACAGCACGACTCGCCAAGGAATTCTCGAGTATACTAAATCTCGAAGCGTGATTTAAAGATCCTCTTTCTCGACGCCATCGAGAACAGAATCGACCATCGATCTTCGCGTTAAACCGCCCTTGTTTAAGCCACTACCAATCGTTGTTGTATCTGCTACTACGACTTATCAGACGGACAATCTAGACGAGATCGATCGATAGCCGATCATTATCAATCGATACGATTAACTTTCCGTCCAACATGGTAAACAAGCCGCGATTCGACGATTGAAATATATGTTCTTGAGCTTCTCTCTTTCGTACAAACTTATTCTGACTTTAAGAATCTCATAGAGAAATCGTTCCAGATTAAATTTGACGTGAATCGTTTAGGAGAAGCTATGCTGCATGATCACTTAACGTGATTTATATGTTTTATTTGTCTACATTTTAAGAAATAATCATCATGATTTTTTGAATAATAAATGAGAAAAAATAATTTAAATTAAAAAATTATTTAAACGAAATCATTTTAATTTAATTTATTTTTTATTTCTCATTTTTTAATTCTAATTTATTCTAATTTAGAAGATATATTAATTAAAATAAAAATTTAGCACTTTGCAATAATTATTCATTCATCGCGTGAATGACAATGCATTAAGAGAAAGAGCGTACCTATTATAATAACACATATACGTCGTAAAAGTCAAATACCATGTGTTACGATTAAATTGCTATCGCTCCAAAATATTTATACATATATATTTTATTTTATAATATAAATTAACGTTGAATATTCTGTACCTTCTATTCCAAATTATTTTGATAAATAGACTATCAAATAAAATATAACATTTATTCCAAGAATAAAATTTTACTTGAACTAAAAACCTATATTTAAATTAATTTAACTTAATATTTTAATTAAATTAATTTAATTTAATACTTTTATTTAATCATTTTATGCAAATTTTTAATTTCCGAAAGAAATGATTTTATTCGATGTTAAAGAATCATAAATTTCTTTCTTGGTTTTAATAGATACAGTAAACAATACAATAAAATGTAATTTAAATTACTCCTGAATAATGTGGCAATTTATTTTTTTCTGTTTTATTAAAAATAACGCAAATTTTTCTTGAGAAACATAAAAACAAATAAATATTAAAAATTATACAATTTATTTGTATAATTTTTAATATGCAGATATAAAATCAAAGAATTTTGTTTTTTCATCAATTTAGATTTAGAGTTATTAATTCTTTTTAAGTGATCAATCAATTATTCAAGAGTTTTTATTAAAACTAACAATTAACCATAGCACATTTATGGACACGTGTGTGCACGCATACATCAGTATAAATTTCATTATATTCCCCCATCCTTTCTCTACTGTCCGTACATATTTGCGCGGTTATATTTCAATTGTGAAGGGGGCCTCCGCGTGTGTCTCCCCCTTTTCCCCGCCGTTTGCTCTCCAATTCTTTTCGATCGGCGCCAGAATACTCGTGCCAGTCGTGTTTCGTGTAGACGGGGTGCAGTCAGACCGCTATTGTCTCGATTGCAAATTTTTCGCGTGTATAAGCATCGGACCCGAACGCCGCTCCATGGGGGGTACATCGTGTAAATTCCCTTGCCCTTATCCTCCCGCCTCTGTCTTTGTGTGTAGCACGAACCTCAACGACAAATGCACGTATTTGCTTACTACTGTTCGGCTAATCTGCTGAATGTATGATAGCCAAGAAATGGCGTGAAAACAACGTAGAATTTTAATGCAAAATTTAATATATAAAAAGATTTTAATAAACCTTTTTTCTTGCTTGAGACATTAACATAATTACAATAAATATAATATAGTTAAAATTTTTAACGGATATTTATTGTAATTATTTTTTGTTAATATCTCAAGCAAGAAAAAAGATTTATTAAAATCTTTCTGTATATTAAATTTTGCATTAAAATTCTACGCTGTTTTCACGCCATTTCTCTTTATTAAAAATTTTTACTATATTTATTATATTTATTGTAATTATTTTTTATTAATGTCTCAAGCAAGAAAAAAGCTTTATTAAAACCTTTCTGTATATTAAATTTTGCATTAAAATTCTACGTTATTTTCACGCCATTTCTTGGCTATCGTGCATGAAATAAATATATTTATATGCTAAGAAATAAAAATTCTCCAACAAACGCGTATTTTTTTAACTTGTCATTCATTATCTATTCTAATTACCTAATTACTATTCACACGAGGAATACATTAGTCATTGTTATCTCATTTGCATGAATCGTGCAATGTGAAAGACGAACGATCGGTCGATTCGACCACATCTCGACACGAAAAACTCATTCTTCAGGTCCACGAACAGAATGGCTCGTTGCATCCTTTGGTGAGAGAGATTTAGAAATGGATGGCGCCAGAACACGAAAGTTACGGCTGTTGCATCCTACGTCAGGATGCGAATTGTCCCTGGGCATGCACGTGACTCGGTCGCACGGTTTGACATTGTTTGGTCGACGAGGAGGGTCCATTGTTTGCGAACCGTGCGAATCGCTTGGTCCGATATATCGCGACTCACAAATATTAATATTTGCGGGACAATCAATGGAAAAGACATATATATAAATTTATTTTGACTTTGTATAGGATTTTTAAAATACGGATAAAATGCCTATCTCATCTAAAAAATTTTGAAAGCTTTTATATCAATAGGATTAGTTTAGAAATGCACTCCTTTTTTAATTCCTTCGCAGAGAGTGGCGAGGTAATATTTTAATGGCACTTTATCTAATGGCACCCTATGGTACCTAATGATACCATAAAACCTAAAGAGTTTCTTCTGAGTAACACGACAAGGATTGAACTCTTGGAAAGTATAAAGCTGTATTAAGTAATCAATTTTTCGGCTTGCCAAGCATTATGATATGTTATTTTCACTAATCAAGTTAGTTAATCCTGAATGCTTTAGCACAGTTCATTACTTAATACTCTATCAGGCGACATATCTCAGTGAGACAGATAGAATATTAACTCGCTCGATGAAAAAAAGCAACGTTCTCTTACATCTTAT